GGCAAAGGGATCTCATTATAATATTACCACCCCTTAATCTGTAAGCTTCCACTCACGGAGCAATCATTTTGATTTATCTAGCGACAATGGTGTACCAGTTCTAATGTCATGGTGAAAGTTTGAGCAAAACATACTGACTGTTCTGTCTTTGGCTGCACAGACGAGCACAGAACACTGTTTAGAATCTCAGCCTCAGAGGAGACAACAGAACAGTGGAATTATTGATTTATTTACTGTATATTGCTGCTGCCACACAGATCTAATATAAACCAGAGATTTATTTCCCAGCTGTTTACCTTCACAGACATAACCGACTGTTTTTGTAACTCATGTGTTTTTAACGTAAACTTGTGTGTGAATGAGAATGTAGTTTAGTACTCACATGCTGTGTGGTGGCCGCTTTCTGTCCGTGTGCTTCAGATGTGTGCACTCAGAAAACCGTATATCAGAAGTTTAAACTCATGTGGTTTAAAACACATGATTTCAGTGTGATAAACATGATAATCAGAACCAAAACAGATGTTTTTAGCAGTTACAAGCTGTAATGAAGCAGCTCTATTCTGGAAAAGGGGGCGGGGAGCAGCAGCTCATTTGCATTTAAAGAGACAGGCACGAAAAATAACGTGTTTCTGCTTCCACTCAAAATAGGCATTTTCAAAATGATATAATAAATGATCTGTGCGGTATTTTGAGCTGAAACTTAACAGACACAGTCTGGGGACACCAGAGACTTATATTACATATTGTAAAAAGGGGCATAATATGTCTCCTTTAAAGCATGCTAACATATTCTATTACACCCAATACACAAAATAATGATCTTTGAAAATAGCATCATATGACCCCTTTGTTAACTTCTACTTTACTGAACTGTTGTATAAAGCACTTTATAACAATCACTTAACTGTATTATTTTATTTCATCACAGTATGGTGCATTATCTGAGCTACAGGTAAGCTACATTTCACACAAACTAATCTTCATTGTAATTGCAGTAATCTGTAAGCCAATTTTGCACATTTTTCACAACAAATACTTTGTCTTAATTATGAGAAACCATTGATTTTACTACAGATAAAACAAAGTTTCTCTTTTGTTAATTTAACAGTGCAGCGTTGTTTCTGTTTTTGCTACGGTCTTTTGTCATGGGGATTTTTAGAACCTCTAACCAGGGAAAAGTTCCACAATTCTTTCACCTATTCAAGTTACTAAAATACTAGTGACTGAATCATCTTAAAACTTAAAGGGTTCATATGATGCTTTTTTAAAGATCATTATATTGTGTATTTGGTGTAACAGAATATGTTGACATGCTTTAATGTTCAAAAAACACATTATTTTCCAAATACTGTACATTATTGTAGGTCCTCTATGCCCCGCCTCTCTCAAACGCTTCGTTTTCTACAAAGTCCCTCCTTCCGACAAGCGCAGTCTGCTCTGATTGGCCAGCTGACCCAGTGCATTGTGATTGGCCGAACACCACAAGCACTCGTCGGAAATGTAACGCCCCTTACCATAATCGCAAGCTTCATCTTTCAAAATAAATGTAAAGACAGAGCCCGAAAGGGGAACAGAGTCTCGTGACAGACACAATGATGAAGCTGGTATGTGTTTGTGATGTGACCCTCTCTCTCTCGCTTGCGCACACACACACACACGATGCGCAAAACTCTGCATTTGAACAGTCAATAGCAAATACTTTAACTAATAACAAAACAGTAGCTGATTCAGAAGCACCAGATTGTCATAGCAAAGTCAGAATGACCTCCTCATCTCCTCATCCTCCTCATTCATTTTATGGACGTTCACGAAACGTCCATAAAATGCATTGCTGTTCTGTTGTAAGTAATCTTAAAGATTCCTAAATGCATCTACTTCCGGAAGGCCAAATAAAGTGCTTTTGCTTTCGCCTAGAAACACACAGCGTCTCCCTGACATGCTGCTTCAACACTAACTGCGGTTACTGAAACCATGCCTTCTTTCTTTGCGTGCACATTTGGGCCGCATTATGCAAATATTTCCACATAGTGAGGTAGATATGTGGGGGCGTGTTAGAACGAGCCGTTTTAGGGGGGCGTGGCAGAGTCTTAATTTTGATAAAGAATATCTCTTTGGTTTTGAGACTTTAGTCTTTGCAACTTCAGGGATCTTATCTATGCACAATCAGCTTGTAACACTCCAAAGAGAAAGGAATACTTGAAATCGCATCATATGACCCCTTTAAGGCAATTTACCAATTTAAGGTGAGAATGAGAATATGAATAATGAGCATGAAAACAATGACAGTATATTTCATTAAAAGATGCGACAAAAGGTTACAAGTTGGTGATGAACCCATGAAATAGTCAATGATTATAAATCATAATCAGAGTAATTTTATATAAAAGAACAATATAGTTTACAGTGAAGATCCCACTTACTGGAGACAGAAATGTAGATGGGATTGTATTGGTATGTGTAATTCCAATACTTTTTGGATTGTTTTTTTTCCATTTCCACCCAGAAGTAGTAATTGTCTGTGTTCATGACATCATAGAAAACAGTGGTACATCCATGTTGACTAAGATTTCCAAGTATCTCTATATGACCTGAATCCTTTGATGATGTTCATACTTCCATTAAAAACCACCATCTGGCTGGAGAAAAGCATGGTTCACACTTTAAAATTTTTGTTTAAATGAAAAGGGTAACACTAAAGCTTTCTTATCTCATCTTTTTAATTAGAGGGAACTGACTCACTTTCCATAGGAACTTGTACTGGTAAGAACAGAAAAACCATGAAAAAAAGACAAACATCTCAGGTGCTGTAGGTACAAACACAAACATGAAAATGTTATTTTCAATCTACAAAGGCACTTCACATGGGTCCCATACTTTTTTTTTTGATAAGACAGACACTGAATTTATACATTATCTGCATTATATTTTGCGATTAATCGCAACCAAAATACGTTTTTGTTTACATAATATATGTGTGTATTCTTTCTATTTATGTATATTTATATGAATACATTTTATATTCATATAATTGATACTATATATTATATATTTAATATATAAACAAGATTTTTGTGTATTTATATATACATAATAAATACACAGTATACAAACATTGTGTACTGTGTATTTAAATGTAAACAAAAACATTTATTTTGGACAAGATTAATCGTTTGACAGCACTAATTTTAATATGAACATATCTGCATTAGATAAAGTCTGAAATGTGCGCAGAGACAATAAAATGATAGAAAAGCCTTAGCTACAGCGGTACAGTCCATCATTCATTCAGAGTGAAACAGAAGTCCAGCACGATTTCCTCACAGAACTGTGGATTTCTGTTTACCTGGCTGCTTGTTTTTTAGACAGTCATGATGCAGAGACAGGCCCGGCGCCAGAGGGGGGGCCAGGGGGGCTTTGCCTCCCCACGGACATCCCTGTGCCCCCCCTCCAGACCGAGGAGAACAGCCAGACTTTAGTTTTGCGTGTATAATAGTCTAACTCGTAGTGTACCCAACCAACATTGATATGTGGGCCCCATATGGGTTATACCCGGGCAGCATGCACTCTTAAAAATAAAGGTGCTTCACAATGCCATAGAAGAACCTTTTTGTCTAAATGGTTCCATAAAGAACCTTTAACATCTGAAGAACCTTTCTGTTTCACAAAAGGTTCTTTGTGGAGAAAGAAAGTTCTTCAGATTATAAAAAGGTAAGAAAGAGATGGTTCTTTAAAGAAACTTTGACTGAATGCTTCTTTGTGGAACTAAAAATGGTTCTTCTATGGCATCGCTTGAAGAACCTTTTGAAGCACCTTTATTTTTAAGAGTGTGGGTTCCGTGTGGGCATGGGCTGAAAATGGGTAATTTATATGGGCCCCATGTGTGTTTCACAATGTGGTTCCCCGTTTGAACATATGGGACCTTTATGGGATCTATGTGGGCAAAAATTATTTCACACTTAAAATACATCCTTATACCTTTCATTTTTTGGTTAATAGTCACTTTTTAACAAAGAATATAGGTTTTAAGGATCTGATCAATATAACTGATATTTTCTATTTGTTTTTAGATGGAAAAGTTGCCCATAACTCCTGGTCAAGGATCTGTTTTCTTCGTAATAATAGTATAACGAAATAGATTTGGCAAACAATCCAGTGTATCGGCCCTTCTGTTTTGGAAAGCGTCAAATTATTTTACAATGCATTTTTCACAGAGGAGAGCAAAGTAGCCAGTCACAAACATGTTTGTTGATTTCTACAATGAAATGGACAATCAGATGTTTAGGTTGGAATCCACGCACTCACCGCTTTTTGTCTGGTGCTGAGTTCTATCATGCACGTAATTTCATTAAAAAAAAAGAAAAAAAGTTTCATTGTGTGGTCACATTCATCGGTTAAAACGGAACTTTGTGAGATGAATGAGTGACAGTTTTTAATAAATTTAAAGGGAGCTCTCTTTCCATGCTGTATACGATAATATATTCAGAATTTAAATAAAACGTGTTGTCTATGCTTCACAAGCGGCCACGTATGACACCGAGATAGCTAACCACTACACTATATAGAAAGATAATTGCCTAATTTCAGAAGCACAAAGTGATGTGATTCTGCAACCGAGCCTGGTCCAAACGCAGGATTTAGGTACGGAACCGGTTATACATTTTTTGTATTGGCTGCCATGCCAAAATATGCACCTGCTTGCGTTTAATTTAAGTGCTTTTGTGAAAGTATATGCTTTAATAACCAATAATTGTAACATTTTACAATAAGGTTCCATTAGTTAATGTATTAAAGTGTCAGTTAATTATTGTAAAGTGTTACCCAAATAGTGTATTTTGAGCGTTCACTTGAAACTAAGCGCCTATTTAGATACCTTAAAACAAAGAAGTGCTCCGTCTAATTCAGACAGCGTTTCTGCAAGCAAACCAAATGAAAACAAAACACTCTGATATGATTAAATATTTATCTTTATTCAAGATAATATAGAAACAGAAAATAGGGCATTTAAATATTTTTCTCCCCAGGTTCATTAAAATAATGAAAGCAACTGTTCTCATGTTTTGTTCCTTAATACGAAATGTTTTGACTGTTAATGACACTACAAGCTCTGAACTCCTCTAGCTGAAATCGCTTTCATTTGCCTTTCTTGAATTTGCCTGGCGTAGCACTCGTCTTCTGCTTCTTTTTAGTAGATCCCTTTATTTCAGGCTCCTATATAATAAAAAATATATATATACGATTACCTTTCTTTAAACAGATAAACCAATCACTGTTTAATGAAGACAGACATGCACAATTACCATCAAATTAATCATGACTGTATTATTCTTCAGAGTACTTAATTTTCAATATAGTTATACAAGTTAGTTTTAGTAATTACTTCCTCCTACCTTACGCTTAGAGGAAATTGATCCCGTTACAGTAAAGAATGTGTCCAGTCTTCCCTGGGTGCTCCCTTGTCTACTCTTCGTGATTTTCTTACAGCCGTTACGGATACGATCCTCACTGGCAACACACAAATTTAACACATCTGAAAAAAACATCCTGCTGCTGAGAGAACCACAAATACAAGAGAACAACTTCCTTTCTATTTATTCCTTCTCACAACACAACAGGTTTCCCTCACCTGCTTTCGCCCCCCCCAAAAAAAAAAAAAAAAAAAGGGGGATGCTGGCTTTTAGCTTATATTTATAACCTGCCCACAAATTAACGTGCAACGTTACAACCTTTGTGTACAAGCCATTTAAGATCCATTTTAATATGGCATCAGTCACAAGTAGCTTTAATTGTTATTTAAATAAATAGTGGTTTGTCCACACATAAGATATATACACACACACAAACATTTGTAAACCGATTTGTAAATTAAATAATTTTATTTTAGACTGGCTTTTCTGACATTAGTGATTTCTAGTTTAAGACCGATTAAGACCAAATTAAGATCGATTAAGTTAAAACAGGTTTTAGAAGCAGTCTTTTGGCAGAAACAGGTCTTTGCAGAGATTTGGTTGCTTTGTACCTGAACTGTTTCTCAGCACACATAAACTGAATCAGTGCATCCTCGTCAGGTTCATTCCACTTCAGATCAACAGAGGGGCCATCAATGACCTCAGGCTCCAAGAAGAGACTCCGAGCCTCTTTATACAGCCAGTCCTCTGGAGCTGGGTGCTTCTGCAACAAAAAACAAGAAAATATCATATTGTAAAGACCATCTAAAAGAGGAGGTAGTGGTTAAAGGCTGCTATAATTATTCGAGCACACAAAGTTGTTTAGGTTAGCATTTTAGCCGAGATGCAATATTAAGTAAGCGGTTTACTGCAATGAGATAGTTAGGCAGGATTATCTTTTTTTACCAAAAAAAAATATATATAGCTACATATTTAAATTATGCAAGAGACTGTAAAAATTAAGTGCAAAAATAAATATAATGAAACTAAATTATGGCGGGCAAAAATGTATGACCAAGGAAATTGTCAATGCACTTGCCATATGGCCAAATTGATTTTCTGACTAAGCACTACACTAACCGCCACTAGAGAGCACAACTATGCAAGTACATGATCTTGGATGTGATTGCAACATTTTGCCAGTAAGTAAATGCCTTTAAAAAGTGTAAATAAACGTACATTTGAGTCAATATTCACTAGGATCTCTTCAATAGAGCCGTGCTGTTTAATGAGGTCAATGGCCCTCTTGGGTCCAATTCCTTTTATAGTGCCACAGTAGTCACAGCCCAGGAGGATACACAGGTCAATGAACTGAGGAAGTCGTTCAAACATAAACAGCAATTAGAAAGAACCGACACTTCTATCATTTATATATTGTAAATATACTTACACATAATATATACATATATTTAGATGTACAAAAGATAAGACTGAAATAAAGCTAAGGTCTTACCTGTTGATGTGTCAGACCCATTTCCAGTAGAATACGACTGAAATGAAATTCTTGGATAGGGAGTTTTCTAGGATGGAACAAAAAAAACAACAACAAACATCCAATTATGTCTGCAAGCCCTCAAATCTCCATGACTATAATATATCCAAATGTCTACATAAACCGATCATTTCAGATATAAAGCCTATCTATACATACTTTGCTTCACTGGCTGTTAGATGCCTCAACAGGACTGTTGTTCCAAATGTCAGACCGTCCATATCTTCTGTCGCTGTGGCATAAACCTTCCCTGATTTCACCAGAGCAGCACAGCTCGCCTCGGCCTCACATGGAGCCTTAACATGCAAGGTATACAATCTTGCTTACATCCATAATAAAAGATAATTCTGTGCAGTCTGCTGTCAGTGACTGTGGCAGTACCTCAACGTAAGGGACTCCCATTAGAGTAAGTAACCTCTTGCATTCCTCATTGTGCTGTTTGGTAACCTTCACTAGTCGCTTACTGAACTTGTCAATGTTCTCCTGTTCACCTGGGAGAAATCTTACAATTAGGATCCATGTTAAATAATACTTTTTTTTTTAAAAAAGCATGTCGTCTTGAAAGTGTCTGTACCTGCTTCTTGTGCCTGAGCTAGAAGTTTCTCAGCCTCCGCTCGTCTCTCGCCTCTCTTCTCCAGCTGTAGGGGTTCAAATAAAAAGATCTCTTATAGACAGCAGAAAATGTTTTTACAGAAAAAGACCATCTGTTAGTTAACCAAGTTACTTTACCATATATGTTAAAAATCTTAAATGTTTACACTGCATTATATGCCTCTATACTGTAAATATAAGTAAATGTAACTAATTTACAGAGAAAAACTGTAAAAGGACATTCCTGAATGACATTACATACAATTATATTTTATACATGGTCAACATTTGAAGTAAATAAAAAAAAAAAGTTCAAAGTTGTCCTAAAACAAGAACGCATTTTGGTTCTAGGTTGTAGGACAACTTTGATGAAAGTTTTTGATCCACTTTAAAATGTTGACTAGTGTAAATAATAGTTTCCTCTTATTATTGTTATCTGTGATGTTCAGTAAGACTTTTGTTTCATTTGTCTTTTAGTTAATGTGCATTGTATTATTTTAGTGTTACTGCCTCACCGGGATATACAAGGTCATGTTTTATGGACAGGCCACTTATGACAAACTCATTCATCATGTGGCTTTCTATAATACTGGTGTTTATAATTACAGTTTAGAGTAAAAAGCAGATTTTGGTAGTTTAAGTAGTTTGGTATATTAACATTACATCAGTAAATAAAATATAATTATATTTATGCCATCCTGCAATATCGGAAACACAGCCTCAATATTTTTACTGGCACAGCTGCATTTTTTTTTCTTGTTTAGCTGTAAATGCAAAATGACATCCACTTAAGTTGTGATTTAAGGAATGCCGTTTCCAGGTCCGAGTCACTGCTTATTTCAATTGACAATATTCCATTAAAGCAGGGCTGCCCAAACTCGGTCCTGGAGGGACGGGGTCCTGCAGAGTTTAGCTCCAACTTGCCTCAACACACCTGCCTTTAACTTTCTAGTATGCCTATAAGAGCTTGATTAGCTGGTTCAGGTGTGTTTAATTGGGGCTGGAGCCAAACTCTTCAGGACACCGGCCCTCCAGCAGATCGGATGTCTTCTAACCCTAGCAATGTGCGGGTATGATATTACACATACGGGAGCGCTGTTGACTGGATTTTGAAAAGTAAGAAGCGATTCTGAGGAATCCGAGGAAGCATCTGAAGCAGGTCTGTTGCATTTCTCTGAAGCGGAAGTACTTCTAGCATCTCAGCAGGCGAAGATGATTTCTAGTGCTTTTAAATCAGAGTGCAGACTGATTGATTTGTATCTCGTTTGTTTATGTCTGAAAGATACTAACTATATCTGTTTGTGTAACCTCTCAACACTGATTTGAAGTAAGCTGAAGACGTTGAAGAGGTGGTTCTATTTTTTGCACTCAACAAAATCTGATTTCAGTAGCACTTTATTTTACAGTGTACTACTTTCTCTGGTAATATCGGTTAATTATGCATAATTACAGGCAACTAAACCAAACCCCTGCACTATAATAAGTATATGTTGTTAATTTATTTAACTCCGTGCTTATTTATGCAATTACATTGCAACAGATCACTGTAATATTAAGTGTAACCCTCATTTAATGCTATAATTTTTGTTTTACATTTTATTGTTCATTTATTCACTTGTATGTTCTACTTGCAATAATTGTGTACTTGTATCAGTGAAGTCTTACATGAACTTTTTCGTTTTTTTACAATATTCAAATTTATATAAATAAAAGTGTAATCATTAAAGTAATATAAATGATTATTTTCGCTTAAAGGATTGTTATTCTCAAAATTAAATTATGATTTTTTTTTGTTTACCCACACATTTTCCAACACGTTTGAATTTTATTTTACATTTACATTTTTAAATGTATACATTTAGCAGACGCTTTTATCCAAAGCGATTCAGGCTATACATTTTTTATCCGTATTTTATAACTACGATATTTAATCTAGTCATTACGTGATTTATGTGAGTAAAAAAAAAAAGGCATAATAATATAACTAGCCATTTAAAATATTTTTTTAACATGTAGTATATGCATAATACTTTTCAAGATTCGTGTCTACATGAATTCTAAAAATGTAAATGATTAAATTGATATAAATGACTAAGAAAGATTGTTTATTTTAGGTGCTGGGACCATTTCTGTTCAATTATTAGTTCATCCCAAAATGAAATATCATGATTGTGTTTTTGTTAATATTTCACGTAGTCTCTAAATTCAGTCAAGTAAAAATAATAGAAGTCATTAAAATAGTTCTAAATGGAGTCTAGCATATCAGACCGTGGGATACATGGAAGAGAGTGGATTCCTGCCTCACAGCCACAAGGTCTTTTTCTATGTTTCTGCCAGTCTCACAAAAAGTGCTTGGCACAAATATAAATGTATGTGATTCATTACATTAGAGAAGAATATTTACATTTAGTCATTTAGCAGACGCTTTTATCCAAAGCGACTTACAAATGAGGACAATTGAATCAATCAAAACCAACAAAAGAGCAACAATATGTAAGTGCTGTGACAAGTCACGGTTAGGCAATATATCAAATGTTCAAATGTTTGGTGTCAGTAAGATTTTTTTCTTTTTGAAAGAAATTATTACTTTTATTCAGCAAGGATGCATTAAATTGATAAAGTGTCAGTAAAGGCATTAATAGTGTTACAAAAATGCTCAATATCAAATAAATTCTGTTCTTTTGAAATTTCTGTTCATTAAAGAATCATTATGAAAAAGGTATCACCGTTTCCACAGACATATTAAGCAGCACAGCTGTTTTCAATATTGATAATAATAAATGTTTTTTCAAGCAGCAAATCAGCTTATCAGAATGATTTCTGAAGGATCATGTGACACTGAAGACTGGAGTAATGATGCTGAAAATTCAACTTTGCATTACAGGAATAAACATTTCAAGTAAAAATAAATTAAAATAGAAAGCAGTTATTTTAAATTGTAATAATATTTCACAATATTACTGTTTTACTGTATATTAGAGTTTATAAAATATTAAATATGTACATTAATTGTCCAATAACTTTTTGGGGCTGCTGTGTTTTGATATTTGCTAATTTATTGAATAAAGCATCCTGATGCTTGAAACTTTTATTAGGTTTCTTTTTATTATTAATTATTTATTAGAATTATTATTTCTTATTTTATATAGTTTTTCTTATTTTTTATTTCAGTTTTAGAGTTAGTTATTTTAGTACATCAAGTTAAACTAAATGAAAATGAAAAATATTTCCTTAGGAACTAGCTAAATTGCGATTTACATTTTCAGTTTTTTTTTTTTTTTATATTTTATTTTATTTCAAGTAACAAAAAATGTTTTTTATGGTTTTAGTTTTAGTTAACTATAATAACCCTGATTTATTCACTTTTTTTGTACAACAGGTGGGGCTGTGGACACACTTGGACTTCAATATAGAGTACAACGGTGACTCTGTGATATTCGCCAATGTGTCTGTGAAAGACGTGAAGCCGGAGCCATTAGAGGAAGGCGGGGGAGGGGCAGGCCATGGTGTCAGCAGCGGTGGTCTGACGGTCACTCACACCTACAGCGTGCGCTGGTTTGAGAGTACTTTGCCCCATTCACGCAGGGCGGAGCGCCTTAGAGACTATTCCTTCTTTCCTAAGACTCTGGAGATCCACTGGCTGTCCATCATCAACTCACTAGTGCTGGTGGTGCTGCTGCTGGGCTTCGTCATCATCATCCTCATGAGGGTGCTGAAGAATGACTTCGCCAGGTGAGGGTGTATCTGACGTCACGTTTTTGATAGTAATTTAGTTTCCAAACAGGTCACTTGAACACATGGGTATTTACAATTTGTTATTTTGCTTGGCAGCCATAAACTGCGTACAGTTAAAGGAACACGCCACTATTTTTGAAAATAGGCTCATTTTCCAACTCCCCTATAGTTAAACCGTTGAGTTTTACCGTTTTCGAATCCATTCAGCCAATCTCTGGGTCTGGCGGTAGCACTTTTAGCTGCAGCTTAGCATAGATCATTGAATCTGATTAGACCGTTAGCATCTCGCTCAAAAATGACCAAAGAGTTTCTATATTTTTCCTATTTAAAACTTGACTCTTCTGTAGTTACATCGTGTACTAAGACTGACGGAAAATGAAAAGCTGCGATTTTCTAGGCCGATATGGCGAGGAGCTATACTCTCATTCCGGCGTAATAATCAAGGAACTTTGCTGCCGTACAATGGGTGCAGTAGGCGCAATGATATTACGCAGCACCTGAAAATAGTCCCCAGCTTGGTAACTTCCAATAAGCCTATTTTCAGGCGCTGCGTAATATCATTTTCCGTCAGACTTAGTACATGATGTGGCTACAGAAGAGTCAAGTTTTAAATAGGAAAAATATCGAAACTCTTTGGTCATTTTTGAGCGAGATGCTAACGGTCTAATCAGATTCAATGATCTATGCTAAGCTACAGCTAAAAGTGCTACCGCCAGACCCCGAGATCGGCTGAATGGATTCGAAAACGGTAAAACTCAAATGTTTAACTCTAGGGGAGTTGGAAAATGAGCCTATTTTCAAAAATAGTGGCGTGTTCCTTTAAGGCCGTTCACACCAAATGCAATAACTATAATGATAACAATACATTTTTAATTAATGTTGTAATATGAGAATAGGGATGTCCACATCACAGCTGTAATGATAATGATGAAATCGGAATCACTTTCAGAACAGTTTTGTCCAGCTGATGAACAATAAAAACATTGACAGATAAATGGGATCTACTCAGCACACAGTTGCTTGTTTGTGTGGGTAGGTGCTAATATAATTATTGTTATATTTATCTTTATAGTTTTGTTCTTGGTGGGTAGAATTGTTCTTGGTGGGTATGGGCCTTTAGAGTAAGTAACTATTTTGGCAAAATAATTATTTATTGCGATTTATTCATATTAATAAATGTAATTAATTATTATTGAACATTTGTATCTTTTATCATATTGCTGTCATCGTCATTTTATAAAAGTTTCAATTAAGAATCCGTTAAAAGTGGAATTGATGGCTGATCATGTACTCTATTTGTTTACATTGTGAATACAAATTGCGCTTCATTAAACCAATTTATATTAAGTCACTTCTTACTTAAATGTTACATGTATATTACACATTCAATTAGCAGCACATTAGATGCACCAGGGAGCTCACGTTGAAGTGTTTCTGTTGTTCCCTGAGCAACATGTGCACACAAACAAGTTTCCAGGAGATTGCGACTCCATCTAATGAGATTGAGTTAAGTCTCGAGTGTGTTGAATTACATTTGAGTAAATTCTCAAGCAGTTTCTCTAGAACGCCACCATTCAAAAGTTGGATTTTTAAAATTATTTTTGAAAGAAGTCTCTTATGCTCACAATGGCTGCATTTATTTGATTACAAATACAGTGAACAGTAATTTTGTGAAATATTATTCTAATTTAAAATAACTTTACTATTTGAAGATTCTTACAGTGTAAGTTCTACAGTATCTGTGATGGAAAAGCTACATTTTTAGCAGCCATTATTCCAGTCATCAGTGTCATATATCATATGACATGTCATGTTATATGATTTTCGGAAATCATTCTAATATGATGATTTGGTGGTCAAGAAACATTTCCTTGTCTACTTATTTATATTGTTATATTATTATCATCAAAATAATACTGACCCCAAACTTTTGAACTGTTGTGTAACTGTTGCCTTTAATTGTTTCTATGTTAATTGATTATCATAGTAAGTCAGGAGAAAGCAATGAAATAGTATTTTTTTTTTTTTTTACAATAAATTATCCGTATAGGGGAAGAGGAGGGATCAGCACCTATTACCCAGAGATCATTAATGAACAACGGTCTGATCAAACACTGTCGCTGTATGTGTGTACAGGTATAATGTGGAGGAAGATGGCGGCTGTGACGACCTGGATCAGGGGGATAACGGATGGAAAATCATCCACACGGATGTCTTTCGCTTCCCACCGTATAAGAGCCTCCTGTGTGCCGTACTAGGGGTTGGGGCACAGTTTCTGACTCTGGCCACAGGTATGACACACTACATTATAGAAATATAAAACATCTTTTGACATGTGAGAGGTCATTGTACTATAAAAACATCCTGTAAGTTTCAAGTCAAAACTCTCTCATTAGTCGTTAGTTGATAGGTACTGAGTATTTATGCATTTATCCATCAGCGTCCATCTGTGAAGGATGTAGGCTGTCAAACATTCACAACTGTTAGCCAATCATAGCGTTTACTTCTGAGTCTACAATCCGCCACGCCTATTCAAACAGAGCGTTCAGAAAAGGGGGCCAAAACAGGACAGAAAATAGCCTTGATAACTTTATAAGTGGACCTCAGAGATCAGTACAAAATAATAAAAAAGGACGTTCATGACCACCTTAATAATAAAATAATATTTTATGTTTTATTTTATGTTGTTTTCTCTGTCACTACTTTTCTGTTATTTGTGACCCTGGACCACAAAACCAGTCATAAGGGTCAATTTTTTGAAATTGAGATTTCTAGGACGATATTTGGCCGAGAGACAACTATTTGAAAATCTGGAATCTGAGGGTGCAAAAAAAGGTGTCCAAATGAAGTCCTTAGCAACACATATTACTAATGAAAAATTAAGTTTTGAAATATGTACGGTAGGAAATTTACAAAATATCTTTACTTAATATCCTAATGATTCTTGGCATAAAAGAAAAATCTATAATTTTGACCCATACAATGTATTGTTGGCTATTGCTACTTAAGACAGGTTTTGTGGTCCATGGTCACATTTGTTTAGATGATTTTGCAATATTTTGTCTAAAACAATTGTAGTGCTTAAATGAAGTGCTTAAATATTTGAACTGAGTGGGGGAAGCAGTTGAGAATTGGGATGAAAATGAGAAGAGTGTTGCAGATAGGAAGAACATGACCTTCAGGTAACGCACTCATTTCTGGATCCTTTTTCCTGGTTTCTTTAGGAATCATTGTCATGGCGCTGCTGGGGATGTTTAATGTCCATCGTCATGGTGCCATAAACTCGGCAGCGATTGTATTGTACGCTCTGACCAGCTGTGTGTCCGGTTACTGTTCCTGCAGTTTCTACACACAGATTCAGGGCCAGCGCTGGGTCTGGAATATTATCCTCACCTCTGCGCTCTTCTCTGGTGAGACACAACACTCTTCTGCATCTGCTACTCGCAGTGCAATGTGTGCTGCTCAGTATGATTTTTTTCATTTTCAGTGTATTTTAATTTTAAAGGTTAATCTCTTACCTGTCTCGTTGTACATACTGTGCAGCATGCTAGTATTTTAATCCAAATATAGTTTGTCATAATTACAATGCTTTCATAAGCAGAAGTAACTGACATTTCGCCCACTCACTGCTGCTCTCTTTGTTTTTCTCTCTCTCTGATGCGTTTAGCCCCTCTCTTTTTCACCTGGAGTGTGGTGAACTCTGTTCACTGGTGGAGTGGATCGACTCAGGCCCTGCCTGCCACCACCGTGCTTCTGCTGCTTGGTGCCTGGGTGCTGGTGGGTTTCCCTCTCACCGTTATTGGTGGAATTGTTGGAAAGAACAGAGCAGGCAACTTCCAGGCCCCGTGTCGCACACGTAACATAGCTCGCCAGATCCCCCAGCAGCCCTGGTACAAACACACGGCCGTGCACATGGCCATCGGAGGCTTCCTGCCTTTCAGGTAAGAGCTGTGAATCTCTGCAGAAGGTTTCCAGACAATGGAATCTTTTCTTTAAAGGGATGGTTGATTGTGATTTCTTTCTTTTAAAGTTAGTTAGTGTGTAATGTTGCTGTTTGAGCATAAACAATACCTGCAAAGTTACGACGCTGAAAGTTCAATGCAAACGGGGATATCTTTTAAAATTCTGGCAGTTTAATGCCTACAAAAACGGCTCGTAGGGACTACAACGAGTTACTTCCCGGGTTTGTGACATCACAAATCCAGACATTTACATAAAGGGGGCAAGTGCTGTTTTTTTTTTTAGAGAAGAGGAAGAGTTGTTGCCATGCCGTCAAAGCTAGGGGTGCACGAAAAAAATCTATTCATATGAATCGCGATTCTGTCTTCTAACGATTCTAATGGATTCACAAGTTTCAAAATCAATGTTCTAAAGCAGTGGTTCTTAAACCTGTTTCTCGCACCCCATACTCTGCATCTCTCTCACTCTCTCATTCAGCTCCGCTCCAATAAACTGTGTTCCAATTATACACTTTGTATGGACAGACAGATATTTTTCACAAAGCTACAAGAAGCGTTAAACGGCGTGCTGTATTAAAGATTTAATCAGGATAAAACCGTATATTGAAAGCTAACATAAGCAGTAGCATTTACAAATAACAGCGTATCTAAAAGTATGAGACCACAACAAACAAAAATCATACCATTAAGAGCCGTGTGCTTGCACAGGTTCTGCGTAATCCTCTTTACAAATATTCTCTGTGTATCAATCGGGCTCAAATTTATAAGCAATATTGATGATGCCATTGTTTACAATACAACCGGAGGGCAACCTGAGGTGAGGGCGGGACATTTAGACACGCACTAGAGGTGGTTTAGCCAATCACAACACACTGAGCTAACCAATCGGAGTCGATTGTGTATCTCTGAGGGAGGGGCTTCATGAAAACAGGAACTCATCAGAGTGTTCAAAGAAGGGACAGAGCGTTGTAGAATAAAGGTAAATTATGGGATGATGCGGTTTTTTAAAAAGCGAAGCATTAACACGTTAGACTGCACCCCATAAACACAATCAAGCCTAGAAAAAAACAGTCAACCACCCCTTTAATAATTCGGTCCAAAAAAATCTGCCAAATAAATCTCTCTTTGTGTGTGTGTGTGAGCACTTGTACAGCTATCTTTGTGAGGGCTGGTTTGAGTTTTAGACCGTCAGAGTGAGGACAAATTTGTAAAGTGAGGACATTTTGGCCAGTCCTCACTTTCTGAGACCCCTTTAAAGGCCTGTTTGAGGGTCAAGACTTCGTTTTAGGGGTCAGGTTATAATTAGGTAAAGGTTAGGTTTAGGGTAAGGGTTTGGGTGAGGCACTTCTGATGGGTAGGTTAAGGGTTAGAAGCTAGAGCAGGGGTGGCGAACGTCGGTCCTGGAGAGCCACAGCCCTGCAGAGTTTTGCTTCAACCCTAATCAAACACACCTGAACAAGCTAATCAAGGTCTGAAAGGTTACTAGAAAGCTACAGGCAGGTGAGATTTAATTTGGGTTGGAGCTGTACACTGCAGGGCTGCAGCTCTCCAGGACCGACGTTCGCCACCGCTGAGCTAGAGATTGCATTGGGTCAATGTATGTCCTCACAAAGATAGCTGTACAGAGTTTTATATATATATATATACATACATACACACACACACACACACACACACATATATATATATATATATAAAATAGAATATTCATATATAATACATATTTTTTTAAACATGTATGTATTATATATTAAATTGTTAATATTAATATATTATATAATTAATATAATAATAAGTATATATTATGTTTTTTAAAACATGCAAGTAAATATATAATATTATATTTAAAATGTTTTAATATATAATTATATATTTAATATAAATAATAAATATTTCAACATATTACATGAGAAAACATTTTTGTACAAATTATGTAAGAGACTTACAATAATATAATATGTTGATAAATGTATGAGTGTATTGTATTATATTATATTATATTAGTCCCACACAGCGTGCCTCTGTTGTATGCTGTTATATATAATTGAATCTTTAAAAATATTTTTATAAATAATAGGAATACAGTCAAACCAAAATGTATTCAGACTCCTTCAACATTTTTGACATTATCAAAGTTTATTCGATATTGTTTAGAAAATGGTAATAAAATATGACAAGAACTCCGAGTTAAACTGTGTCAGAACAAATTCAGCTTGATAATGTCAGATAACTTTGATAGAAAGGTATGTAATGGATTACAATGAACCAAAGTAAACAATTTAAGTACACAATTAGAAAATACCAATTTAGGTCAACCAATTACCAAGCAATGCTTAATTTAGTTCAGTTTGTGGTGTAAAAAGATCGCATTAGCAATTAAAGAAAAAAAAAACACTTAAGCAAAATATGGTCAGGTCAAAAGTGTCTGAATAATTTTCGGTCCCAAATTTTTTATAAATTTTACTGGTAGTCCACAGTATGAAGAATTTTTGGGTATAATATGTCAGTTTACTTTATTTTGCTATCCTCACTTACATAAATGAACTATAGTGTCCTGCACCCACTAGTAAAAAAAATATAAAAAGTTATATCTGGTGTCTGAATAATGTTTGGTTTGACTGTATATAAATATAAATAAATTTAAGAAAAGTTTTATTTATATTTTATGTTGTATTACTCACTCTTCCTTTCACATTTTTTTCTGCTTGACTTTGCAGTGCCATCTCAGTAGAACTGTACTACATCTTTGCCACCGCGTGGGGTCGTGAACACTACACACTCTACGGCATTCTGTTGTGCGTCTTTGCCATCCTGCTCTCGGTGGGCGCCTGCATCTCTGTGGCCCTGACCTACTTTCTGCTCTCAGGCGAGGACTACCGCTGGTGGTGGAGAAGTGTTCTGAGCACCGGCTCCACTGGCATCTTTATATTTGTTTACTCACTCTTCTACTACCACAATCGCTCCAACATGAGCGGCCTTGTACAGAGCGTCGAATTCTTCGGATATTCCTTGCTCACTGCGTTTGTTTTCTCGCTCATGCTAGGAACGGTCTCCTTCTGGGCTTCTCTGTCTTTTATTCGTTACATCTACCGTAGCCTTAAGATGGACTGAGTTTGTTTCCTCTCAAGTTTCCTCACATGGGGAAGAGACTCGTGGACCAGGTCCTCATGGAGCCCTGCATGAGCAGGTTTTGTGTTGCTGAAGTATATTAAACTATCAAAACTGTTGATGCCAATCTTAAAAGGAATAGGGAACAGACAATGTGACTGACTAAAGACTAATTTTATTTTGCTCACCAACACCCTGATACTTACTTCACATAGATATATATAGTTGCTAGATTATATGCACATCAAATACAGATGTATGTGAGAGTCATTTTGGATCGTTTGTGCTGAATGGAACAGCTTTTCATACTTCAAATGTTGCTTACCAAGTTTCCAAGACTTTGGAAGTTTTGTTTTGGATTTTGTTTATGTAGTGAATATGACTAAAATGATTCAATGTCAGTTTCAAAACATAAGGGGAACGAATCAGAGGCCTTCATGCTTATCTATGTTTCATAAGACCATTGAGGAGATGAAGCACTTATATGTACTGTAGGTGGGTTTACTTGATGATTAAAGGAGGATGTTGGTTATATGGAAGGATATTATAATCTTTGAGGTAAAGAGATGTCATATTGTTTTCAGAGGGTGCAGTATACACATTTTGACCAAAAGAGTCGTTTTGGAAGGAAGGTTTAACACGAGCAAGCTGAAGAAATGAAGAATTGATTATGGAAGCAATACCATGCTCTAAAGTCGCCATCAACTGTGATCTGTTGCAATGTAAATATACTGTTTTCAATAAAGTCACTTTTATTATGGTAAGAGAAATAAATGTGGGTAAAATGCAACAATGGTGGTGTCTATTGAAAACAATACGTGTAAATTGATTTCAAGCTCACTCTCAGGTATGACTTGTCCCTTTGATGTACGTTCTTACACAGTTTTGTTCAAAAATTTGTTTTTGAAAGAAGTCTCTTTAACTAAGGCTCTATTTATTTGATCAAAAATCAGAGGCGGACAGTAACTAAGTACATTTACTTGAGTATTGTACTTAAGTACACTTTTTGAGTATCTGTACTTTACTTGAGTATTATTTTTTCTGGGAACTTATGACTTTAACTTCACTACATTTGAAAGACAAATATTGTACTTTTCACTCCACTACATTTCTATCAAGGTCCTCGAAGTAGAAAGTCGTTAGCAGCTTTGAAAGTCAGTGGGTGATTTCTTTCTTCTCTAAAAACTATTTTTTTCAAACAGTTTATCAGTAATCACTCTTGTAGGGCTACATGAAGTGATTTCCCAGCATTTTTTGAACACTGACCAGTTGCAAATGTGATATTTATTTACAAAAATTAAATAATAAGAAATTACTATTGTGGTATATATTAGACACGATATTGTCTGATTTTGCTAAATTGTGTACGTGAAAATATTACCCATAAAGCCACAGAAGAACTGTTGTGCATCTCCTAATAAAACACAAAAGGTGTTGGACTTGAAGCAGCACTGCAGACCATTCTGTGT